TCATACACCTCATTGACTTATCTGGAGTTCCTACCGACCTATATGAATACATATCAAATAGCTTAGTGGACTTCCTACCAACTCATATAATATGGTTGGAAGTCCAAATAGCTCGATAAGGGGCTTATCAGGCTATTCAGACTATCTAGGCTTCCCACCACGCTATTTGAGTTTCTCATGCCTCTTACAAGGCTATTCGAACTTTCGGCCGAACTATTTGAGTTCTCCATGCACTTTACTCACCTGGGCTATCAAGACTTCCTATCAAGCTATCTAAGTTTTTCATGCACCTTACTAGACTATCTGAACTTCCTACCAAGCTATCTTGATGTCTTGCTTACCTGAGGATACATTATACGTATTTTAATCAGATTGAAGACGTAATATCGTTTGCCATGTAAAAAAAACTAACGATATTGGTAATAGATAACCAAATCCATAATTTCTAAAATAAAAAGAACCTAAATAGGATAAATTTTGGAAATAAACAAAAAAACCAAAAGGTGTTAAATAATTTAGGGGCTAAAAATATTATTGTCCCTAATTTTAACTTGTAAAGAAGTCATAGTTTGAGATAACTAATGTTTTAACCTTTAAGTTCATTAAGATAATGTCATTAAACGAATCATTACATATAGAGCTATCAAAACGGGTAACCCGACTCAACTCGGCCCAGCTCACCACGGGTTTGTCACTCAGTGAGCCAACCCAACCCGACTCACTTATTAGCTAGCTGAAAAAATTCGAATCTGACCCGGCCCACCACGGGTTGCTGAGTTAAACGGGTTGGCTCACTAACTCACTTAATTATAAGTTTTTTTTAAAATAAAAAAATTTATAATTTTTTTAATTCAAATGTAAATAAATTTCACTCTAAAATATGATAAACTCTAAAGACAATTCAAAATAAAAACAAAATTATCATACAATCCAAGCGTAATGAAAAAACAAGCACAAAAGGTAAACAAATAAGTTTTTAATATTGATAATTTTTGTATCACTTGTCCATTTATAATGTTAGAGTCTTGAATAGATAAATCTATAATATTTTTCTCTCTTGAAACATCTTTTTTTTTATCCTTTTCTACAAAATAATAAAAAAATGTTAACTAATAATATTAAAACACAAAATAATAAATAATTAAATTAAATTAGGTGGGTTGGTGAGTCAACCCAACTCACCACGGGTTCAACCTAGATGAGTTGGGTTCTAAGTGAGCCGGATTGAAAACTAATCCGCATAAAAATAATTACATATTTTTTAAATCCAACCCAACTTAAATGCGTAGTGGACTAAATTGGCTCACGAGTTACAACCATTTTGACAACACTAGTTACTTATCAAATGTTATCATTTTAATTTTTGAAACTCCTATAATAATTTTGTCTTTTTAAATGTTTTAAAAGATTGAAAGATAAAATCTATTTAAACTGTATTTAATCTCTGTAATGTAATAGAATAAGAATAAATAAACTCTTATCAGAATGAACATATATATATATATATATATATATATATATATATATATATATATA